TTAGGGTTTAGGGTTTAAAATTTTGAAGGACTATTAGAGGCCTTGAGCCTGAGCGCTCCAATTCTTGGCCACCCGGAGGGCCCAAAACCCCTTAAGTAAAGAATATACCTTAGGTTTAGGGCTTTTGGGTTTTAGGGTTTTTAGGGTTTTCAGGGTTTTAGGGTTTAGGGTTTTAAGGGTAACGAGAAGTCTCTAGAAGCCCACGCGTTTCTGCCGAAGGTTTTGGAGTTCATGTAGGGGCCTTAGAAATTAGAACAGGGTGTCAGGGTATATTATGCTTTGATTATGAATAAGGAACCCACCAAAATCGTATTCCAAGTATTAAGGCCCCTGCATTAAGGGTTTAGGGAGCTATGGGTTTAGGGCTTCGGGATAAACCCTAAGCCTTAAGCCCTCAAGCCCAGGATCAACACAAATTGTTTAGGAAGCAAAATTGAGCAAACGCAAAAGGCAAAACCCGCACAAAACCCGGTCAAAACTCAGGACCTGAACCCTAAACAATTTGTATAAACCCTAAACCCTTAAGGGCTTCATTCCTGTTCTGGAGACTCAAAAACCAGGGCCTTTGCTGTAGGACTTTTTCTACAAGCTGCAACTGCCAATCACGGTTTAGGGGTTTAGGGTTTAGGGTTTAGGGCGGGGGATGAGATTTTAGAGAGTTCAGAGCTCGATGTAGAGCAAAGTCGAACGAGACTGAACAATGTCGTCATGAGAGACGTCGTCTAGTCTTACTTGTGAAATGCTTTCGGGCTTACAGCAATTGATTATAGTATGTTACATTTCTTTCTATTCTGTTCTGTTCTTGTCATTTTCCATTGGAGTATAGTCTGAAATAACAGTAAATTATAGCTACATTCTAGACCTCCAGCCTGAACCCTGAACAGTAAACCCTAAACCCTAAACCCTGAACCCTAAACCCTAAACCCCAAACCCTCAACCCTAAACCCTACCCCAGGCGTACTTCATGCTCTGGGGCTGAAGCTCTGGAATCGCCTGCGCGGCTGCGGCTACCCTGCGAGCTTCTGCGATGATGAGGAGGAGGCCCAAAGTGAGGCCAGGCCTTCGTCTGCAACATGGGGGTTTAGGGTATAGGGTTTAGGCTTTAGGGTTTGGGGTTTAGGGGGGCTTCGTTGGCTATGTTTCGGGTTTGGGGTTTAGGGGGGCCTTCGTCTGAAATGTTTAGGGTTTGGGGTTTAGGGGGGGCTTCGTTGGCTATGTGGTCTTCTTATCGCTTTGCCTATTCCGAATCAATGTGTTAATATTGTTTCTTCGGATTTGGGGTGCAACGGTACTACGTTGTTCAGCCGCCATCATGTAGTCTCGCAGTTTGCAGATGTTCCATTTTCCAGCTATAGCAATGAACTTCGGAATACTTCAGGAGCTGGAGAGGGAGGACGGTTTGGAGTGATGCTGCACTTTGACGCTGCAGGTTTACCATTAGCATATATACATATATCTGCACATGTAATTATACATATATATATATATATGTACGTAGGACCTTTATGTCTTATTTGACGCATGCCTTGGGCCATAAAAGCCGGAACGTTTCAAAAACATCAATGTTTTCAAATTTTGAAAAAGCCAAAAAAAATCAAAAATCCTTAAAATTTTGAAAAATCCATTGTTTTTTCAAAATTTTAAGGATTTTCAAATTTTGAAAAAGCTTTAAAATTTTGAAAAACCCTTAAAATTTTGAATACCCACCGAAATTAATTAATTCCGAGAGTTGGGATCTTGTAAAATTTGAAAAATCTTTAATTTTTTTGAAAAATCTTTAAAATTTTGAAAAAATCTGGTTTTTCAGGGCTTGAAAAGTTTAAGGGCTTTTCAAATTTGAAAAAGCCTTAAATTCTTGAAAAATCCTTAACATTTTGAAAAATCCACTGTTTTTCAAAATTTTAAAGATTTTCAACTTTTGAAAAATCCTTAAAATTTTGAAAAAATCCACCGAAATTATTAATTCCGAGAGTTGGGATCTTTTAAAATTTGAAAAATCCTTAAAATTTGGAAAATCTTTAAAAATTTTGAAAAACAGTTGATTTTTCAAAATTTTAAGGATTTTTCAAAATTTTAAGGTTTTTTCAAAATTTGAAAATCTTTAAAATTTTGAAAAACAGTAGATTTCTCAAAATTTTAAGGATTTTTCGAAATTTTAAGGATTTTTCAAATTTTCAAAAGATCCCAACTCTCTTAATTAATTAATTTCGGTGGGTTTTCCAGAGTTTTAAAGATTTTTCAAAATTTTTAAGGTTTTTTCAAAATTGGAAAATCCTTAAAATTTTGAAAAAACAGTGGATTTTTCAAAATTTTAAGGATTTTTCAAATTTTAAAAGGTCTCAACTCTCGGAATTTATTAATTTCGTTGGGTTTTTCAAAATTTTAAGGATTTTTCAAAATTTTAATGATTTTTCAAAATTTTAAAGCTGTTTCAAAATTTGAACAGCTCTTAAAATTTTGAAACCCTGAAAAATTCAAAAAACACTCCAAATTGTAAGGATTTTTCAAATTTTAAAAGGTCCCAACTCTCGGAATTAATAATTTCGGTGGATTTTTTCAAAATTTTAAGGATTTTTCAAAATTTTAAGGTTTTTTAAGGTTTTTTCCAAATTTGAAAATCCTTAAAATTTTGAAAAACAGTGGATTTTTCAAAGTTTTAAGGATAATTCATTTTTTAAGGATGTTTATAAGTTTAAAAGGTCCCAACTCTCGGAATTAGATAAATTTCACGGATTTTGCAATAATTCAAGGTGTTTTCAAAAGAAATGCTGAAAAGCTGTTTGGCGTTGAAGGTAAGTGTTGGCTCA